AGGTTCCTAAACCTGTATTCCCTGGAACGCAGGAGGGAGAGATACATGATTATATACACCTGGAAAATCCTAGAGGGACTAGTACCGAACTTGCACACGAAAATCACCCACTACGAAAGCAAAAGACTTGGCAGACGATGCACCATCCCCCCAATGAAAAGCAGGGGTGTCACTAGCACGTTAAGAGACCATACAATAAGTGTCAGGGGCCCGAGACTGTTCAACTGCCTCCCAGCACACATAAGGGGGATTACCAACAGACCCCTGGCAGTCTTCAAGCTGGCACTGGACAAGCACCTAAAGTCAGTTCCGGATCAGCCGGGCTGTGGCTCGTATGTTGGTTTGCGTGCAGCCAGCAGCAACAGCCTGGTTGATCAGGCTCTGATCCACCAGGAGGCCTGGTCTCAGACCGGGCCGCGGGGGCGTTGACCCCCGGAACTCTCTCCAGGTAAACTCCAGGTGATGCTATCAGTTATAAGTCTGGAAAACGAAGTTAGAAATATTGCCTAGGAGGTTATTCCTTATCACGGTGAATGAAACTACCTATCTTGTGGATAACCACGTTATGGCTGTTACTTTGATAACGAATGTCCCTATCGTGATGATAACATTTGGAGGTAAAGACTTTAGTAACTTCTACTACTAACGCACTGACAATATTGATTATGCTGTTATAATGTTGTGCTCTCAGAACAGAGACTTCTCTTCTAGGGAAGGTCTCCTTTTCCAAGGACTTAAAACGTCCTTCCCCTTCCTTGGATCAAACATGATTACTTCCCATTTGTTAGGCGCTGTGAATAATTGCTCTTTAATCTGAGTTAGACTGACAACAAAGCTTCTTCATTCTTCTACGTCAAAAAATGCAATGTTGAAGATGATAATATATATTGCAAAAACAAAAAAAAAAATCTGGTGACGTTACCAATAGTGACGTTGCCAATGGTGATATTACCAATGGTGATGTTACCAATGGTGATGTTACCAGTTGTACTTCTAATGTGATCCAGAGAAGACTACACCTGCCGTTTAACAGAAGACGCAAATGGAACCTAGCAAAAACATATCTAGCAAATGATACACACCGGGGATTCAACAAAAACAAAATATATTTAGCAAAAGAAACACGACTGGAATCTGGAAAACAGCGCCTGCTATCTAGGGGAAGAAACACACCTAGGATATAGCGGAGATAACAACTATTATTTAGTGCTGTACACACCTATGATCCGGCTGGATTGACACCTGTGAGTTAACGAAGGACACACACACACACACACACCTGCGCACAATAAATATTTAAATATTAACCATTTAAATAAAAAGGAAAGACAAGAAACTACTTAATGTATACTTATGATGTATAACAGTCTGAGCTAAACACAACAGTTAATATACAACAACACACTCACTAACTGGCAACACATCAAATGTTGGCTGGAGATGTTCTGAGTCTTTGTAATACATTGACTACAAACAATAAGTCTTACATCATAGTAAAAAGACTTGACTATATCGCCCAACAAATATACTTTCTATCCACTTTATAAAAATAACGCAGACACACTCGATTTGTGATTTGAAGTTATAACACACACACACACACACACACACACACACACACACACACACACACACACACACACATACATACACACACACACACACACACACATACACTCACACACACACACACACACACACACACACACACACACACACACACACACACACACATACACACACACACACACACACATACACACACACACACACACACACACACACACACACACACACACACACACATACACACACACACACACACACACACACACACACACACACACACACACACACACACACACACACACACACACACACACACACACACACACACACACATAAGAATGTGTTGGACTGTCGTAACGTAGTTCTACACTTAGGGATTAAGGACTATTTTTCTTGCTTTTTCTGATGATCAGACGAGCGTTTGTCTCAGAATCCTGTGGGACAGAAAAATTATAGCTGTCTTCCTTGAGGTTACAGATGCCTTCCCTTTAATTGAATCCCTTTAAATTGACCCCTTTTCTAGAGATGAAAAAATTACTAAGACAGTTGCCAGATTTATCTGTATTTGGTAAGTAAAACCATTAATATCATATCCAGCATCTGCCCCCAGAAGCTTGTGGGATAGATGAAATACGGCTGTTTTCCATTGTATAATTTACAGATGTCTCCCTTTAAATGTGTCCCTTTAAATGGACCCATTAAAGTAATCTCGAGCTTTGGTGACCAGGTTACATGCAGCTATGATGACCCTCATGTAGTCGAAATGCTTTAAACCTCATAGACCAACCAATAAAATTCAGGTATTGTAATTCATTTATTTTTACAGTATCTAAACGATGTAAAAGATTATATATTAAGTATTCTTGGTAAGGTTAGCTTATCCTAACCCATATTAATATGCATTTACCTATACTTTCCAAATAATAAACTGATTATAGGCATATTTGTAGCAACGCGTGCCTGCTTTCAAGATTCAGAACCTCTCGCTTTACGTAAATGTATCAGAACTGTTGTCTTCCGCACCTCATCTTGGTTCTATGAGAAATCGCGTTCAGTCGTAACAGTGCAATTTATTGGCAAAAGAGATACAAATACAGTATAATGCGATCGTTTATTGACTTTTTTTGTGTTTGTTACTTGATCAAGTAGGCGAAACGTTGTCAGTACGTGTTAGAAAATATTTATGTTTCTTTTTTCCCACGAAGGTTTAATTGTTACTTCGATGTATTTAATAATAAGGTGCTTCCATTAACTGCCACGACTCCTTCAGTTTATTCATTAATATTACGCCTTCATTCATTACCATAGCTCTTTCATTTATTACCATGACGCTTGCATTCATTACTACGCATCTTTCACTAATTGTCAACATCACCACGCCTTCATTCATTACTGTTACGGCTTCATTCAGTGCTACAGTCTTCATTCATTACCGACACGATGATGCCTCTATTCCGTGCCAGTAATATGATGTCTCTCTTTATTAACAACATTGCAACGCCTTCATTTATTATTACTAAGATTTCAGTTATTACTATGATGTCTTCATTCATTTCTTTCTAAGCCCAGGAGGAAGATTCACTTTAAAATCTAAATTCCAAAATATTATTGTATTGATTGATTTAAAGTTTTATATAATTGTAAACTTAGATAAAATCCAATATTTGTGAAACAAATTTCTATAAATATACAAAATCGTGGGCTAAATGTCATTTCAAAAATTCCCTTCTATTTTATTTATCTGAACTGCGACAGCTGTGTGGTTTTGTCATGTTATTCAAGAAGAAGAAAAAAGTACAATATCGTGACTGGAACAATACACAAATAAGCCGCACTGGGAGACAGGAGTTTCTGTCCAACTTGGACCATTTACAAAGTCACACTATCCGAAAAGAGTGAGGAAGCAAGTTTATATTGACTCCCCCACCCTTCACTTTCCCTTTTTTTCCTCTTTTGCCACTAAACTACTGTCTCTACTTTCCACTACCGCTGTTTCTTCTACTACTACCTATGCTACCTACCACATCCACTACTTTATCTTCTCCCTCTTTTGTTCCCGTCCCTTTTCCCGCTCGCCTATGTAAACTGGCTTCCTCACCCTTTTCTGTTAGTGTGACTATGTAAATGGTCTATGTTGGACCGAAACATCGTCGTAAACTCTCCTCTCTCTACGTGTGGGTTATCTGTGTAACGTTATTCAGGGTTACGATAAGTATAGGATAGATCTTCTGTACACGAATAGCGAGAAAAGGCTTTAATCTCTAAGTTAAAATAATGACATTTCCAATAATCATCACCGATTTGAGCTATACGATGTTTATGTTTATTAATTTACGTTTCACAAATTTTTCCTAGGTCCTAAAACTTTCGTAGTTTTAGGCAGTGTGTTTATTGTGCCTAATGGATAATACGACCCTGTCATGTTAATCCCAAAATATTCTATATATTACTTTTTTTTTCAAAGCATTTTTTTAAATTTGTTTCCATCAATTTTTACTCTCCATTTACAATGTAGAGCTAAGGAAACACGAATCTATTTCTTTTAATTATTGTTGGCAAAAGTGACATTAATATTTCACCTAATTAGAGATATTAGGATTTATGTCACTTTAACAATAGTAGAGAAAAAAGTGTTTTATTTTTAATTTGTACAGTGAGCGTTGGCGTATAAGCAGAGACGTAGTGAGTAAAACAGTGTAAACTAATTGACATCTACTGGAGAATCTGCAAACCAAATGACATCCACAACGTTCTCGGTATACTAGAAGGCTTTTACAAGACTTTCGCTATACTAGCTCCACAGAGTGGCAAATGACAAACAAGAAACCCTGTAGGGCAACTGGCAAGAAAATTCTCTGTACTAAATGAAATCCACAAGACACTGTGAACCGAATAACATCGACAAGAAACTTTGACAAGCAAATGACAAACCCAAGATGCTCTCTGAACCGCGTAGCATCTGCAAGATGACCTGTAGACTAAATCGACTCCATTGGACACTGTCAGCCACATATTATGCACAAGATACACCATTTGTAGACACCTGCAGTCAAGGAAATTTACTCATTCAGAATATTTAGATTTTGAACCAAGATTGTTTTCATGAACATTTTGTTCATGGTAGATGTTCACAGGTTATCACTTTATTATTTTTATTGTTGTTATTATTATAAAGAATAACGAACGGTGTTACAACACAAGTGATTGAAAGATCTTCACACGTAAAGGAACTGCTTCAAAAAATTGCAACTCGAGGTTTCACATGACTGTAAAAAAATTTGTAAAGATGATTTTGTAATTTATGTGGAGTTTTATGCAGGATGAGGTTCGAGAGGATATGCAGTCAAATACCTGAGCTTATATGCGCAGTGATCCGCATGGATCTCTAATGGCCCTGTGATTCATGAGACACAGGGAAATGCTGCACAAGGGTAGCACCCATCATGAAGTGTGCAGGGGATGCTCAGAGAAAGCACCTTTTATCACGTGTGTGGAGCACTGTAGAGAAGACGCACCCATCTTGAGTATAAAACAGACACATATACAACGCTGCGAAACTTTTATTGGAATTTATTGGGCTCACCGGGAGCTTCGTCACTCTAATCTTATTAATAAAGTTCCTGGGGTGGGAAACGTAAACAAAGGTTTCTCAATGTTGGAGGTGAATGTTTTATACATTTATTGGTATTATATCTATTGTATAATACATGTTCAGTAGTAGAACCCATCTTGAAGCGTGAGGTACTGCTGAGAGAGAGCACCCATCTTGAATTAATAGGTACTGCTTTGAGATTGAATTGTTGAGTGGGAGGTACTGCTAGATGTAGCATCCATCTGGAAGTGGGAGGTAGTGCTAATTAGCACACATCTGGAAGTGGGAGGTATTGTTCAGAGGCTGAATCCAGCTTGATGTGGGATTTACTGTTCAGATATAGCACCTAGGTTGAAGTGGCTGGGGTATTGCACACACGTATTGCTCAGCTTGAGGTGGGAAGTACTGCTCAGAAGTAACACCCAATTTGAAGTGGGAGGTACTGCTCAGAAGTAACATCCAGCTAGAAGTGGTAGGTACTGCTCAGAAGTAACACCCAGCTTGAAGTACGAGGTAATGCTCAAAAGTAACAGCCAGCTTGAAGTACGAGGTACTGCTTAAAAGTAGCACCCAGCTTGATGTTAGGGGTATTTAGAGGTAGCACTCATCCTGAGGAATGAGGAGGCACTACACGGGGATAGCACATCTTTAGGTGTGAGGAACAATGCACAGAAATGACGAGTACTTCACGACCACACACACACGTCTTTGTAAAAGGGTTGTGAATTTTTAAAGTGCGTGTCTTACTGAAGACTCACAATTAGTTATCGATTGGATTTAGGACGACTGGGCGGTAATGAGGCATTTTTGCCTGATATCTGATGAATAAACTAAAAACACTACATTACCATTTCACTCATTTTGAATTAGATCAATATGGAGGACAATTTAGGAAATATTTTCAGGTTAGCTATGATTTAAATAAGCTAAATATATTATAGCGTAAGTTATGATTCTGTTGGTTTAGTGTTAACGTACGCTAGTGTGGAGGGTTACAATGTTTGGGTCCCGCTTTATAACCAGCTTGCATTAGTACAGTAAGAAATGTCTTTAATCTAAGTGTTTACATTTAATACAGTAGGATTTACAAAATAACGTCAATACTGCGCTAAAGGCATAACATTAAGTGATGTGAAAGTCTCCCCTGAGGAGCCTTGTGAATGTCTTCTTGAACTGCTGGTTGGCAAGGGCATAGCAGAAAGGGTTGATGGGGCTGTTGGCATAGCACAGGAAGTAGAAAAACATGTACACATGGCCATTAGTACAGAGGCAGAATGACTCCATGATAGCAATGATGTGATAAGGCGTCCAGCAAGCCACAAAGGCTCCCATGATCACTGAAATGGTCTTCAGCGCCTTGTTAGCTCGATTTTGGGACTTTGATTTTTTCTCCTCTGGTTCTTTCTTTTTCTTTTTGAAGCGTATCTTTTTACCTAGGCTCTTGAAGACCCCATTCTTAGACTTGGGTTTCTCAGAAACGTTAGGAAGTTCCGCACAACTGTCGGGTTCAATGCTACTTTCTCTGCCTCTGCTGGTCACGGTGAGTGAGGCACTAGGTGGGCCTCCGTTGGATGGGGCTCCAGACTTTTGCAGGTTGTTAGGCTGACTGCTCGGCGTTACTGATACTGTGGGAGGAGCTAAAGTGATGGCTGTTACACTGGGGGGGTCCTTGGGTGGCGGCGTTGGCGCCGGTGGCTTCGTTATTGGATGTGACGGTGGTAAGTACTCATTGGTTGGTGTTGGATGAGGAGGAAGAGGCGGGCTTGAGTCTGAGGATGATGGAGTTTTTACTGGCGAAAGATGGAGTCTGTATGTAAATCTTGCTGAATCGGAGTCATTACGAAGTGAACCATTGCCATCAATTGAAGGCATTGGAGTGGGCGTGACAGTGTTAGCAGGAGAAGAGGCGACCGTTGTTGCATCCAAGCGTCTGGCAAGATCTTCAAGCGAGATTGAGGCGTCCTGGTGTGTCCAAGTTGAGGATGGAGGAGTCTCGACCACAGGAGAGGGAACAACAACTGAACTTTCATCCATAAACTTCATGTCACTTGTATCCATCAGCATCACTGAATCATAAATAGGACTTACAGATACACTAAGTTTCAGTTCCAAAGATGTTGGCCTCTGAGGCACAGGAAGATCAGCAAACATTGCAGGAGGAGCGATAGGTTCAGTAATTGTTGTGACGGATGGTGTGAGGGGTGTAGAGGCAGCTAGCGGATGTCCAGCAAGCTGATTTGACTCAATGGAACGAGGAGGAGGAGGGGGTACAATTGGGAGGTCATCCAACGTTGATACCACTGAGTTACCAAGCTCGTTGTGAAGAGCTTCATTATTTCCTTGGTTAGTTCCTAAGAGAGCCGCCACTGAGTTTGCCGGTAAGGGATGAATGGCAGGTTGAGCAAGAGTTGGGTCAGAATTATCAGAGTCAAGCAAACATTTCTCAGGAATTTTTGGCAGAGATTCATTCGTTGGCGTCTTCTGTATTACAGTCAGCTTCTCAGTCTTGGACAGGTTAGTGTTGCTGTCACGTTTCTCGTCTTCGCTTTCAATGCCGCTGCTTGACTTTTCAAGCTCTTTTTCCAGAACGTTTTTTTCCATGAAACTTGTTGTTTCACAGGTCGTTATTTTGGAAGACCTTTGCAAGGAAGAGTCATTCGTGATGTGTTGAGGAGTTGTGCCAACCTGTATCTCAAACTTTGGTTTATCTTGGCTAATTATGGTACTCTGAGTCTTGGACATGGTCATAGTTCCTTCCCCTTTTCCCTCGTCACAGTGATCACCATTGTCGCTGCGGTTGTTCCTGCTCTTCTCCCCGGTATTGGTCTTGGTGGTTGTGTGAGGAAGCCTTGGCGTCGGCGCTGGGCTGGGCCTGCAACTAGCAGGGGCTGTCGAAGGTTTTAGATTCATCATGGCCTGAGCTTGTTTTCTCTTCTCTCGTGCTTTTTTTGACATCTCATAGGCGGTTTGATAAATGCCGGCATATAAGACAAAGAGCGCAATAAGTGGGATCCAGTAGTAGGCGACAATAAGAGAGGTATTAAAAATTGGGTCTTTCAGAAATTGAACCATACACTCGCCCGGTCCTAGGTCGCGGTACCCAATGAAATGCTCCCATCCGAAGATACTTACAAAGAAGAGGAGAGCTGGAACGAGCCATGTCACAAGAACCATCACTATAACACGATTCTTTGTACGCCAGGACCTGTACTTCGCAGCGATCTTGACAGAACAGAACCTGTCGATGGTGATGAGAAGCACAGTGAATTGGGAGACGAGGCATACTGTGTAGTCCACGGAGAGCCATAGATCACAAAGAATTGGTCCCAGATCCCAGTAGCCCACGAGGACATACACTGTATAGAAGGGCATGGAGACACTCCCTATGAGGATATCAGTAACAGCCAACGAAGCCAGAAAGTAGTTTGAGGGCTGCCTGATGGCTCGCTCGCATATGAAAGCCATCAGTACTAGGATGTTGCCGAAGATGGTTATGATGATACAAAAGGTGAGACACACGCCGATGAAGATGGTGGACGGGAGGCTGAAAGGTGGAGGGCTGTCAAAGATGGAGTACTGGGTGATATTACAAGACGTGGCGTTGCTGTCACACCCGCTGGTCACGTTGTCCAGTGGCCACAGCAGGTCGTGACCAGAGGCGGAATTTGGCCAATCGCCGAGGGAATCGTTGACCACTTTCACCCAGTGAGGTTCATGGTCACTCCACACTTCGTCAGGAGAAGTCACACCCAGCTTCACCTTGCGCCTGTAAATACGAAAGTGGATTAGCAAAATGAATAATGTCACGTGTATAGTTAGAATGTAGAAAAATCTATTCATACTATGTCAAGTACTAATAAATTAAAAGATGTCAAAAAATGTCATATAATGCAACACATACGAAACGTTTCCTTATAACGACCGAAACAACAATGAACACCAGTTCACTGACATTTTAGATAAACATCAAAAACTGATATAAAGGAATGTGAACAACAAATAAGCAAGCATTATACATGTTATGAAAGATCGAGGATGAGACGTGTGTACGGGTACAATCATGCATCACATTAAACAATGATGGGAGGGCGTGAAGAGTGCTAGGAGGAAAGAAGAGAGGGAGTGAGACAAGAAAGGATATTGAAATATAATAGAAAGTAAGGTGCAGGGCGAGATCTAAGGAGGGGAAGGGGGGCTAAGGTGACAAATAAGGGACTATAGTAAATAAGAGGAATACTTGCCAAGATAATAAAACATGGCACGATGGAATCGTAGAGTTTAATTACATTTTACATAGTCGTACTAACTACACAGTGAATGGATAAAGAAACTGAGCTCACATACACACACATACAAGTATATATTCATAGGTTAATTTATATATATATATATATATAATATATATATATATATATATATAATATATATATATATATATATATATATATATATATATATATATATAATATATATATATATATATATATATATATATATATATATATATATATATATATATATATATATATACATATGCAAAACACCACTCTGAAAGAATAGAGAAATTCCAAGCGCTTTCGTGACTACTCACATTATCAAGGAACTATGAAAGTAAAGCATCCAAGGAAGGTATATAAGGGGTCCGGCCAGCACCTCACTATCAGATCCCACAACGGTTAAACACCTGACGCGCGCCGACCCAACTGGACAGGTCCTTTGCAAAACCACCAACAAACTATTCTACCCAAGAAAATTTTTAAAATTATTATTTGTCCAGTGTATTATTAAATTCTTCCCAAATTCTATTAATTATAAATGGATCTAATTTATATAAATCAAAGGAAATATTCATATTATTGTCAAAACTGCTTTTTATGAAACAAGATTCAATTACATTCCTGTCGACCATGGACTTGCTTGATACTACTTTCTCAACTTTTTGAAAATGAATTGGATGGTTAAAATCTCTTACATGAATAAATAGAGCATTGGAATCTTGTCCAGTTCTAATGCTATATTTATGTTGTTTTAATCTTAGTTCGAGATTTTTACCAGTTTGACCGTAATAAACTTTATCGCAAATTTTACAAGGAATCTTATAGACATATCCATCAGCATTTTGGGGGAAATTCTTTATCAAAAGTTTTTTTACTGTATCAAGATTTTTGAATACAACTTTAATATTAAAAGTCTTAAGAAGAGAAGGCATATCAACCAAGTTTTCATGGTAAGGGAGAACCAACATATTTTTTAGTTGAATAAGGCTGGTTGTCCCTTTTCGGATTGTAAAAAGCATTTCTAGCAACTTTAAAAGATTTATCAATTACATTTCTTGAGTATTTTAAATCATTACCTATTTCATAAATTTTGGATATTTCCTCATCTATGAACTCAGGACTACAAATTCGTAAAGCTCTCAAAAACATTGATGAGAAAACAGACAATTTGACTCTATCTTGATGCGAAGAATAGTAGTGGACATAGGAACAGTTATTTGTAGGTTTTCTGTAAATTTTAAATTTGAATTCATTATTACCCTTAATAATTAAAACATCTAGAAAAGGTAATGAGTTATTTTCTTCAAACTCAACAGTAAAGTTTATTTTCTTGGGTAGAATAGTTTGTTGGTGGTTGTGCAAAGGACCTGTCCAGTTGGGCCGGCGCGCATCAGGTGTTTAACCGTTGTGGGATCTGATAGTGAGGTGTTGGCCAGACCCCCTTATATACCTTCCTTGGATGCTTTACTTTCATAGTTCCTTGATAATGTGAGTAGACACGAAAGCGATTGGAATTTCTCTATTCTTTCAGAGTGATTGTTTTGCATATTCTGAAATCACCTGTTTACTGTGATCTTATTGCATATATATATATATATATATATATATATATATATATATATATATATATATATTATATATATATATATATATAATATATATATATATATATATCTATATATAATGATGTTTTTACCTGCTTTTCTATTTTCTAGATCTCCGGTAACTGCACGGTGTCCATTGTTTTAACTACAGATTTTAGTTAATCTCTGCATCCTCTCATAGAATTCAGGGTGACATTGCCCTGATGTGTCCATCTAACTCTAATGTTTCTTCGCCTCTTATTCCGTTATATGTATCTTATCAAGTACCTTTTGCTTTCGGCGCTCTAGTTGCTATTGTTTCCATGAAAAATCCCTCAGTTATTAGCTGAGCTGATACACTTCCATGATTCTCGTGAGCTCTCCTTCTTTAGTCTTAAGGTTTATTACCTGGTCCTTCACTGTTGTCTTTCTTATTATGTGGTTGTGTTGCAGCTTTGGTTAAAGTTTTGCTTCTGCCACTGGGTCATTATCAAACTGCAGCTGAACTTTTCTTCTCATCGTTGCATATTAACTTCTTGCTCTTGTGCTAAATTCTCGGTTTTCTTCCATCATTCGCTATTTTGCATTTTGCAGTACTCTTGCACTTCTTGTTATTTTATTTTGTGCGTCACTGGTCAAATCATAGGCTCTCTATATTACTGTTGCCTTTTATACTGGGTATGGGATTTTTTTCCGTCTCCCTCCACTCTCACAGCAAGTACGCCAAAGTCATTGACTTTCTGACTGTATTTCATTCAGCAATTATTTTCTGCAGAGGTTCCTCTTCTGAATCAGGTTCCTCCTGTCCCCCACCTGCTGTTCTTCCCTCATTACTAACTTCCACAGAGTATTCAGAACTCAGTACTGTAACTTTGCTGCTACGTGGAGGTCTCTCGTATTTTTTTTTTTCATCTACATCCGATGCACTTATGGTGAATATTAGTGCTAATCTAGCTGGTTCATCTGCTCCTCTCTCTTTCGCTGTGCCCTTGACATACTGATGCGTAGTTTTCCTTCACCTTCTCCATAACCTTAGTCCAGACATTCCTGTTACGCTCAGTAAATCTCACTTTTCTTGATTTATTTTTTATTTGTGGTAGAAGTTGCTCACGTTCATAACTTAGAGTAAATCATCTGATCTCTTCTTGTTGTGTTTTTGCTACACTGTTGGCTTATCCAGTATTGACTTTGGCTTATCCAGTATTGACTATAATCACTGTGTAGCCATATGTCTCATTTTTATCTGTTTTTCTCATCTGTCATTTATTTATTTATTTATTTATTTAAAAATTTGAGCACACATACAGAGGTACAACAAATACAGGTAAGAGCAGTATGCCAAAGCCACTTATACTATGCATAGCATTACGGGCTGGCTTAAAATTAACTTAAGATTAACTAAGCAATGATGAAATCAGTGATAAAACATTAATGTAAACAGGTTACTATAAAGCACAAGTGAGTATTACAAAGACAGGTCATATGGTTGTATGCATTGTTGTACATTCAGTAGAATGGAGTATTCTGTTAGGTAGTGTATTTAAAAAATAATAAAGTTAGATTGGGTTTTAGGTTAAATTTATGTGATTAATTGTGAGAAACATTTAAGATATACAATTTTTAAGGTTCAGTTATTCATTATTAATTTGGTTTTGGGTGAGTAAGTGATCTTTGAGAAGAGACTTGAATTTATAAACAGGTAGTGTTTCTTTTATATTTACAGGTAATGAATTCCAGATTTTAGGGCCTTTTATGTGCATTGAGTTTTTACATAGTGTGAGATGGACACGAGGAACATCAAAGAGTGATCTGTGCCTTGTGTTATGGTCATGTGTTCTGTTGAGGTTGGCAAGGAGATGTTTGAGGGGAGGGTTAATATCAGAGTTAAGTGTTCTATGTATTTATTTATTTATTTATTTATTTTAATTTGAGCACACATACAGAGGTACAAAAAAATACAGATAAGAGCAGTATGCCAAAGCCATTTATACTATGCATAGCATTACGGGCTGGCTTAAAATTAACTTAAGATTAACTAAGCAATGATGAAATCAGTGATAAAACATTAATGTAAACAGATTACTATAAAGCACAAGTGAGTATTACAAAGACAGGTCATATGGTTGCATTCAGTTAGGTAGTGATTCTGTTAGGTAGTGTATTTAAAAAAATAATAAAGTTAGATTCTGTTTTAGGTTTAACATTTATGTGATATAATTGTGAGAAACATTTAAGATATACAATTTTAAGGTTCAGTTATTCAGTATTTATTTGGTTTTGGGTGAGTAAGTGATCTTTGAGAAGAGACTTGAATTTATAAACAGGTAGTGTTTCTTTTATATTTACAGGTAATGAATTCCAGATTTTAGGGCCTTTTATGTGCATTGAGTTTTTGCATAGTGTGAGATGGACACGAGGAACATCAAAGAGTGATCTGTGCCTTGTGTTATGGTCATGTGTTCTGTTGAGGTTGGCAAGGAGATGTTTGAGGGGAGGGTTAATATCAGAGTTAAGTGTTCTATGTATGTAATAGGTGCAGTAATAAGTATGGATGTTTTGTATGGTGAGTAGGTTTAGTGTATTGAATATTGGTGGAGTGTGCTGCCTGTAGTGAGAATTTGTTATCATTCTAACTGCAGCCTTTTGTTGAGTAATTAGTGGTCTGAGATGGTTAATTGTTGTTGAGCCCCATGCACAAATTCCATAGGTGAGATAGGGGTAAATAAGAGAGGAGTGATATAGGGCCAGGAGGGCTGACTGTGGAACATAGTACCGTATCTTCGATAGTATGCCTACAGTCTTGGAAATTTTCTTAGAAATTTGTTGTATATGTGTATGAAATTTGAGTCTATTATCAAGGTGGATTCCTAAGAATTTTCCCTCTGTTAGTTTTGTGATAGGTGATCCGTTTATCATTATGTTAAGAGGGACATCTGTAGCTCTGTTACCAAACTGAATGAAGTAGGTTTTGTCAATGTTT